CATATTATAATAGATCTACATTAAAGTCTATAATGGCTAAAAATATTTAAAGGTCAAAAATTCTTCTGTTCTCTTAGTTTTACAAAACTTCTTGTCTCTGTATAAAACAACGTCCCGCGTTTTATGTCTTAAAGAGTAATGTTTATAATCAGGATCTTCAGATTGGGTGGGCAATAGGAAATGTAGTGGGTGTGTGGAACATTTCATTTTATTCATATATCTTTGGCATATAGAGACCCTTCTGTTAAATAGTGTATCTAGTTTAGCTAGTTCAAGAGCGTCGCTGTATGAATCAGCTTCCGGAAAAATTATCCTCAAAGCTCTATTCTGAATAGATTCTATTTTCTGAGATAGATGATCCGGAATCGATTGCCAAAGAGGGATAGCATATTCCATGCAAAATTGGGCGGATCATTGCGGTTACATAAACTTTAACGATGCTTCTCTTCTTAACACCAACACGGACTAATATACATGCCTTGGTATAGATGCAATCAAACTGTATATTCTATTTAAGATCATCACTGCAGATAAACACCCAATAATTTATAACTTGTGACTTGCTGTACAGTTTTGTTTCCCACGTTTATTGGTTTCAAGAGGAAATTAGTATCTTGCAGGAAACTAATTATAACATCTCTTTACATTTTCCGAGATTTAATTTCATGTTACGTGAGACAGCCAAGTTATTTGTGGCGTTGGCCGCAATATCCAGCAAGCTAATCGAGTTTCTGGGTATTATCTCCAAGGCTGATGTATCATCCACAAATTTAATACGCAAGTTCCAATCTAGCAATAGGTTGTTATAGTCATTCCTCCGTTTGTACACAAATTAAAGCGTATTCCAAGTACAAAACAATACAGCGCTGTAAATATTTCTACCTACAGGAATGTTTTTCTTTATTTGCCATGAATATCACATCAAAATTAATGGTGATATAAAAATGTGTAACTGACATTGCAATGAAATGTTATGAAATCCAGTACGAAAATGCAACTGTAACGAAAAACAAGGGAGATTGCAAATGTTCATAACACACACTTGCAAATGACACAGAAGAACGTGCAGTTTCGCATTCAAAATGTGGCTATAACCGAAGTTTGTAAAATGCTTTGCACTCTAAAACTATCAAAATCAGGTGGTCATGATGAGATATCGGTTAAACTCCCTAGAGATGTTGCAGAAGAGATTAGACCATCTCTTACCGCTATATTTAATGCTTCTGTAAGCTGGTATTTTCCCAGAGGAAGTTAAAGTTCTGTTGCAATAATCTCAGCAATCCACAAATCAGATGATAAACCTGTCTGTGATAACTATAGCCCAATGTCTGTTCTATCATAGGTTTCCAAATTGTCCGAAACACGTTGGTTACTAAACTGCTCAAAACTCATCCCCGAGGCGTTAGCCCGGGGCGAGGGTACTAATTCCACTCCGCTATTTACACCCGTGGAAAGGGAAGCATTAGCGAAGTCTAAAGTTTATCAATGAGCTTTTTCACGTTTCACACAATGAGCTTTGAAGCAATTTTTGTTTGAAGAAATGAGAAGGATTGATTTACAGTACTGTGGGAAATCGTGAAATATAGGGCAAGTTTGTTTTGAATGTTTAATGTTTATGAATTTTGTTGCTTTAATTTATAGCGTAAAACATGCAATGCTTTCCTTTTGAATGAAGCTGTATTAAAGTATGCTAAATTACCCTGTTTAATTTAAGAAAAAAATATAAAATGTATATTAGAACAAATTAATTTGAAAACCTAACTGAAATTACTCAACAATTTGAACTTATTTTGTTTTATTAAGTAAAAGCTGTTTATCGGAAAAAGCTGTTTATATAAAGTTTGTTCGTTCACTGCAACCAGGTATATCAATCATGTTTCGCTCGCTACTCTGGTTTAAATAAATGATTACAAAGCCCAGTCGAATTGTAATCATATATTCTATACCATGCGGTGACTGCGATAAAGAGTATTTGGGTCAGTCTAAACGCCAGTTTGGTGCACGGCTAAAAGAACATCAAAAGGCTGTTTCAACTTTAGACAAGGGAAAATCAGCTTTAGCCGAACATGTATGTTACACCAAACACGAGATTGCGTGGGGAAACTCTAAAGTAATTACCACAAACAATCGCTACGGTCAAAGACTTTGCCTAGAAGCGTGGCATATAAATATGAGTCATTATGCTTTGAATAGGGATGACGGCGCCTATTTGCCAGAAGAATATATGCATCTTCTTGGCAGGTGACGTCATCCCTTGGGTATTTAAGAAGCCACGATCGCAGTTTTAGATCACCCCTGATGAAGACACTAGACTGGAGTGTCGAAACGTTGGGTCTTGATTACAATTCGACTGGGCTTTGTAATCATTTATTTAAACCAGAGTAGCGAGCGAAACATGAAGCTGTTTATAGTTATTAAAATGAACATTTCAAAACATTTTACGAAGCGATTGAGGTTAAATTTTACATGAAATCAAAGGTCACAAAAAGACAGAAGAACATACCTACAGTACATATTTCAGAAATTCATTGTTATATAAGATAAAAGCAATAATCTTTAACTATTTTTGGCGTGTTGCACAAAAATGTAATCAAAAATAAAATTGATAAATTATCGTGTTGCCATGGCAACACTGACGTAAACGCGAGCCTGCGTTCAGTGTTGATCAATTACTAATACTTCATGTTAAATCCATGTTTGGAAAATACAGGCGAGGGGTTGCTGCATGCATGTATTTCTAGTCTAGAAACTAATAATTTCGTCGTAAAACAACAAGCTTGTTTCAGGGAAATACACTCCACTCAAACCTCTCTCCTCAACGTCACCAGCCGATGGTTTATGAATATGGATAGAGAATGCTTGAATGGTATTATTTTTCTCGATCTAAAAAAGTTATTCGATTGCGTTGATCATAGCATGCTAATAAAGAAAATGTTGGTTTAGATCTTATCTCGCCAATAGGACACAATTATGTAAGATTGACCAGAATTTTTCCTATAGAAAAATTGTCAAGTGCGGTATTCCTCAGGGCTCTACTCTGGTTCCTGTATTATTCCTATTATACATAAAGGACTTGCCTAACTGCCTATACCTTCTTGTTCTGAAAATATGTTTCCTGACGATACTAACATCTCTGTCAATGGAAAAATAGTATAGCGAACTAGACGAGCGAGTTAACACTGACTTGGAAAACATCCATCAATGGTTAATAGCGCTGATAAACTTACACTAAATAAGCAGAAAACTAAGTACATGATTGTTTGCTCTCGACAACGATTATCTAGTATTATAGATATTATATATTCAAAAATTGAACTGGAATGGTCAACATTTAACCAAGTCATCAAAACAAAAACAAAAACACTAGGCGTTATTATAGATGAAAAGCTAACATGGACGGACCAAATAGAAAATACCATAACTAAAGTCTCAAAAGGCATGAGCATGATACGGAGGATAAAAAAGTATATTCCAAAAGCAACCCTGCTAAAGGTACGTATATACGATGCAAATGTATTATCCCATTTTGATTACTGCTGTCTGGTTTGGGACAACTGCGCCTCTTAACTAATTAGACAAACTGCAATTGAGTCGTACGCGTGATCACTGGTAAAACATATGACGTACATAAGGTCAATTGATATACTTAACGAACTAAATTTAAAGCCCTTAAACGTTTCAAAATTAAAAGGCAATTTTTGTGCACAAAGTACACACTAATGCAGTACCAGAATCTATAGGTGAAATATTTAGCGTAAATACTGTAAGTGCATATGAATGATTTTTGATATATGTAGATTATATTGTAATTGTAATGGAGTGTGTAAACGGCTCCTTGAAAAGCAGCTGCCTACATGCTCAGAAGGACTGACGTTTTTAAATATTTTTAAATAAATAAATATATACTACTTATGGCAAGTTGAAGGCTGGAGCGCTGTCTAGATAAGAGATGAAATTTTATAATAACATGACCATGCATGCACCTTGATTCACAAACCTAGTACAGTATATCATACATACATGGCAGAAAAGTCTGATATCTATTACTCCAGATTACTACTAATGTTCAACTGTACAATTTTAAATAGATACATTGAATAATTTTAAAATGGCTTCAAGGCATTGCACAGCGATGCCCTTGCTCCAGCCACTCATGCATGTAGTATAGTCTAGTGATAGATGTATTATAAGTTTATAACAATTAAGCAAAAGGATTTTAGGATTTATAGAATATAATAGCCCATAGGTGAGTTAAGATTGTAAACCAAACCTGCGGGACGAGGTTTCATTTTGGAGTTTGTTTAGAGAAACACTGCGAAATATGTGCGAAAGCAATGCTCTCATCAAAGTCAGCAAAGTTATTCTTCACGATATTAATAGATGTGTTAAATCCAACCTGATACTCAGGATTTTCACTTCCGCTACCCCCCGAAACCCGCTGCAGCGGGTAATGTAAATCAATGGGGAAATTTCCCGTCGGTCATCGATTACTTCCAATCTGTCAACAACAAACCAAACCATGTGTTTTGTCATTTGACATTTGACAGTTGATTTTACCCTTCAGTCACCGAGGAAAAACTATTACACCTATTTCAGATGATCACGTAACTGTTATCAAATATGCATGCTCTTCCTTGCTCTTCACCCAAGATACAATATGTGTCAAAGAGATAGAGAAACAATGTTCGATGTGACAATGAGTCGTTACGACGGGGCAGAAATTTGCGATCTAGTCGGATTATTCATCTCAAGTAAACTTGAAGCGAAGTTTAGAAAGGATCAGATTGAATTGTACAGGGACGATGGGTTGGCACTTCTGAATGCTGGACGCGCGAAATCGGCTGATAAAGCGAGGAAAGAGCTGCATGTTATTTTTGAAGATATTGGACTACAGATAACTGCCGAAGTCGGAAGTGAATCGTGACGTTAACTTCCTACACATGACATTGGACTTGAAAACGGGAAATATTCACCCTTTAGAAAACCAAACAACGACGCACTCTAAATCGAAAGCAGTTCTAACCACTCACCTTCTATAATCAAGAATATCTCTTCCATAATCAACAAACGTAAATCTTCTTCTTACTCTCTTCCGATCAATTTTCCTTTGATTCTACTGCACCAGTTTTAATTACGAAAACGGGCTCCGAATGGAAGCTACTGATGATGATATCTATGAACTATGATGGTGTATCTTTGTAATACTCGGGCGGTGGGAATTCATCCATTTTGCCAACTATGTATAGAAGACGCTGTAGAAACTTCGTTTGGTTCAATCCCCTGTTCAGTTGCCTGAAACGTCCTTCCAATTGATTAATAAGCATTTTCCCACGACGAACCGCTTGATATGATCTTCAACCGCAACACACTTGAAGCTTTTTTATTCATGTATCGAGAATGTTAAACTTTTATCTTTATAGCTTGAGACAATCATCGTCGTCTGTAAACCAGAAACCCTACCACACCAAAACCCAGTCAAGACATCTGCAGGAGAACAAGTGAGTGCCCACTAGACCGAAAGTGCCAAGTACATCTAAACAACATGGTGCGCAAAGTCGAGTTGCCAACAACTGATAATGGGAATACCAAAGAAATATTCGAATAACAGCCAACTCATTCAAGGATAAAAGTCGTTCAATAACTTCACCTATACTCCTCCAAAACAAAGCCTTATAAATACATATGTGGGATCTAAAACGAAATGGAAGAGATTGCAGCATTAAGTGGCCAATTTTGAAAAGAGTTGCAGCGTATACGCCTGGTGGAAAGCGATGCAACCTGCTTTGCGAAGACACATTATCCATGTTGAAATCGGACCGGAATATAACAATTTGCTAAACACGCGATCGAAAGTTTTTACGAAATGTTGCCATGTGGAAAGATTTAGCGCGTGCTGCGTGCAAATTTAAAGTCATGACCGCTAAGGTGTTGACGAATCAACAAAAAATTATATTAATGCATTAAAATCGCCCGAAGATCGTGTTGAATAAGGCACGCAACTCGAATAGCGTTAATTCTTTTTAAAGATATAAATCCTAGCATTGTTGCGAAGCAAATTTCCGGAATTTTAGACTCTAAGTAGGGAGTTACCCATCATCCCTTGCGCACTCAATGTTTAAGGTAAAAGATTTTTGAATTATCTGTATTTATTTTTACTCGTATATTTATATTTATTAGCTGTATATGTATTCAACTAATGTGTAGCCAGCGTAACTGGGGTTTTAAGGGGTCGGGCTTGAGGCGCGGGCATCCAAAAATTAGAAAGTGACATACACTGTACGCATTCCCCGCGCCATTTGCTTCCAACTGCCAGCTACGACAGGCGCCAGCTATACTAATCTGCTGTTTGGCAGCATTCAAAGCCTTCTAATCTAGTTACAGCTCAGACGGGTTGGTCATGTCATTAGAATGAGCCACGATAGTATCCGCAAAATTCTCAATTTCAGTCAGATGACTTATGGAAAATTAAGCATAGGCAGACCTTGGCTGTCATTCAAAGATGAACTTAAATACAATCATAAAGGTATCGAAATTCCTCCCTGAATGGTTCGTAGTCTCCGCTGAAAAACTTTCATATTGGGAGACCTTTGCCACAACGTGTCGAAAATTTTAAAAGGAGCATATCAACCATCTTAGGAAATTACGCGGCAACACAAAATGCATGACCAGTGCACCAGCATCGTGGTTTCAAAATATATATTAACGTGCTCTACTTGCGGAAATTTTCGCAAATCTTAAGCTGGTCACAACGGCATAAACACAACATTTGTGTGTTGAACTATCATACCCTCATACGTCGAACACGACAGGAGAGTCCATGTAGGCCTAAATGACATTTTAATTTTAAGCAGTTTAGGAAAAAAGTATAGATGAAAACACACTTGCCTTATATTTAACGATTTCCATCTCATTTTTTGAAGTAAAATTTAGTAGATCGCTTCTCAACTTATTGTATGAAACGACTCTCCCATATATTTTCAAATCTTTTCAATTAGGTCATTCCATTTCTGGCAGTCCGCCCCATTTTAAGATCAGTGACATAACTACCCAATCCCGCACTTTGGAAACCGCTCGCAGCTTTGAATTCCTTTTACCGGGTGTAAATAGCGGTTCGCAGTTAGTACTTTTGCCCTGGTCTTTCTCCTGGGATGTCCTTCGTGAGCCGTTGAACGCGTGGCGCGATCTTTCCACTACTGTAGTTAAAGCAGCAAAAAACTGCTTTTTCAATTGAAAGAAAGACTGATATAATGCTCTTTGTGAGCCGGAGATCTATCCGCGAAGAAAAACAAGGTCTTCCTCTTTTAGTAATCATAATATTGATAATACACGCAAATGCTCAACACCTGAATCATGTTTTGGCAGACAGTTTACACTTGAACGAGAAGTCGAGACAAATTGCTCGAGCCTGACATATGATTGTGGTACTATTTGCCAATATTGCGGTTTAAAATGTCACTGTACCGAAAACCTCAAAGAGTTTCTTGGAAAGGCATAGGGTATTATCTTTCACACGCGAACAATCTTGCTTGAGAACAGAACAGGTTTGCTACATTTTTCAAAGCCCGCGTGCAGGCCCAAGGGAAGAATAGTGGGCCTGCAAGCAAGGCCCGGTATTTTGTAAAACGCCCCTTTTCATAACACGCCCCATTCGCGCGTCAATTGTCAAAAAAGAACCAATGACAGCAACCCAAATATTAACAACAAACTCGCATTAAAATGTTGCGGGGTTTTCTCTGCTTATTCAGAACAGAAACAATGTGTATTTGGCTGTGTTTTAGCTCCAAAGAAGCAAGCAACGCAGTCAGTAATTGCCAAATTTGCAAGTGCTCATTTTCAACTAAAATCGGAACAGGCAAATTAGGACGAATTTCGACAGAAAACCTTTCTCGGGAAGTCGTGCGACCACATTAGCCATATGTGCTTCGTTGTCGCCATTGTTATAAATAAATTGTCTCACTTATCTGATTGTGTGTGCAATTCTTGTTGGCGGTGGAAAGTACGAGATTTATTTCAGTTATTTCATTTGGTGAAGAACTCTACAAAAGAAGAAAGCGTTCAGAGCGTCCAGGTCGTTTCGTTTCAAACGGCAATCACCGTATTCTGTTTCGCTCTCTCAGCGAAATTTCGCTCTCTCAGCTAATACATGCAACTGCCTCTAAATAAGAACAGAGTCAACATCAACCAAAAGATAATTTTCTTGAGGAACATATAACGTATCAAGAATGTTTGAAATTAATGAAACTCAAGTAAAGGTTACTATAGTTTACCCCAGTTGTGATGCTGCTATTCCAACACTTCAAGACAAGCAATCCCCATTGGCATAACAGCAAAAACATCTATCTCTTCCTTCAAGTAAACAATAAACAGTCTGGTCTTGTTCCATTTTTAATCGAAAAGGTGATCAGATCCAATTTTTATAAGCTGATCGAGAGCCTTTGTGATGAATCACTGATTTAATTATAGAAGCCAACAGCAAACAGCCAATCAGAATGCTGCGTTCGTGGGCGAACGCGGAAAGTACAAAATACCGGGCCTTGCTTGCAGGCCCACTATTCTTCCCTTGGGTCTGCACGCGGGCTACATTTTTCATTATAGGTACTGTTGTTGTAGTTATTATAATACAAGAAGTTGTGATGATTCCTTGTTGTAGATCTCTAAGTGATGATGATTCTCTATCTATCTATCTATCTATCAATCAAACTAGTGCGGTGCAAATTCCGGTTTTTCATCTCCGGCTCCGGCTGTTTTACAGCGGGCTGCGTTGGTTATAACTCAGGGGATAAATTCTATAACCGGATAATATAATCTTCTGAGCCCAATATGACAAAATATTAAGTCGAGACCTCAATATTGGGCGAGACCGAACGTCGAGCCTAATATTGAAGTCGAGACTTAATATTTTTCCACACTGACGCCATTTTCCGTTTTGACGCCATTTTCATGTCGTCTTTGAGGCGTATATTGTCACAGCATGAACAGCTTATCTATTTTAGTGATTCAGCTAGGATAAAGATCAGATGACATGTATCAGCAAACAAAGCAGTGAAAACACTCAACGCTTGACCAACTGCATGGCCGTCGTCTAGTGCCCCAAAATGTTTAGTTTGGTAGCACACCTCTTTAAACTAAAAGAAAATTACATATTCTTATAGATTAATTAAGTGACGATGAATTCAAATCTAAAAAGTTCTTGCGGGTTCACCCTGCAGTTTTTTTTGTAAAAATTGCGATCAAAATCTTAAAATTTACGAGTTTCGCAATAGCATTTTTACTATATGCCATACGTCAAAATGCGTACCCGCGGAACCAGTCACTCGCGCGCCATAGTGAAAAAGCACACTTTTTCGTCCTTATTGCGTGTAATAAAGGACGAAACAAACTTCAATTTTATATTTTGAAGACAGAGTAATGGACATCATTTGTAGTAATTGATATATTTGTATGGTAAGCCAAAAAGTATCAAATACTTAATAGTAAATATATAAAATACATATTTGAAAACACTATAATTAATACCATATAGTAATTAATAGCACATTAGGTTTCATCATCATCACAATCCACTGCCTTCATCTACATTAAAGTTATTGTCAATTAGTTCTATCTCACTGTTCTCACAATTGCTTGTGTGGATTTTTGTATAAAATTATGCCAAGAGCGTAGCTAATAAAGTGTTAATGCATTTGCAAAGTTCAATGCACTTCAAATTTGCCTTAAAACATGAGCATCTTTTTGTTTGACAACCCTTTTTGCATTTGCAGCTATCCGGAGCAGATGCTGTCCGGATCAGATATTTCCCCATGAAAGAAAATATATATATATTGTAAAAATTTAGATAAAAGGAGAAATTCGGAGGGAAAATTGTAACCAAAAGAAAGAATGTTAAGTGCATCATGGCCATCTTCATAGTTTGATAGTGTATAAATGTACAGATGTTAAAAATGTTGTATGGCAAATGTATTTTTAGCCAATCTGGGGCACCTTATTTTTACTAGAAAATACATGCATGCAGAAACCCTCGCCTTGCTGACAAAACCATTGTATTTTCCGAACATGAAGTATCTAAAGTAGTTGTCATGGTAACACGATAATTTTTGAAGAATATTCTTACAAATGAAAATCGCCTAAAAATATCACTTTTAATTACAAAATTATCAATTAACCAACATATATATGTTAGGTATGTAATTATACGTAATACAAGCTTCAATTTAAGGTAAAATTCAACCACAAACAATTCACAAAACGTTTTAAAGTGTTCTTTATAAAACTAAACTGCCTTTAATTAACTATTAAATGGCTTTATCGATAAACTTTGAGTTTGCAATAAAATGATTTCAAATTCTCGCTTGCAAATAACTTTGCTTTATTTTTTATTTAAAAAATTAAATATAATAAAAAAGGGAATCAATATTAAAGATACACTGAAATTATATGCTGTCTTGTTTAATTGTTTCATATACGCAAAGTCAAGGCCGTTGGGTTTTAAAGCCATTATAAAATCAATATTTAAAACAAACTTACTTTCTTTAACGTCTGCTCCCTTCTTTTGGCCGATTCTTTCGCCCTTTCTTTCTTAAAATTTACAAAATCTTGCGGAAATACGAGCAAAAACGAAATATATTTGCAAGAAATTTATCAATCATCAAATCAAGAAATGTTTGCTATTTCGCTGTCGTCATGCAGTCGTTATAATGCAAACTTTAAATTGGACCAATCAGTGTCCGTTATTCATGACAGTCCGCCATATTTTTGAGATCAGTGAGGATTACCACCCATCGTTGGTGACCGACGCCCGCGCTCATTGATGAGCTTTAGTCTTCGCTAATGCTTTCGTTTCCCCGGGTGTAAATAGCCGGGGGGAATTAGTACCCTCGCACGGCGCTTCGCGCCGTCGGCTCGGGGAAAATGGGGAGCTTTAGATTTGACTACGAGTACGACTACGAGTACGAGATTCGTCAAGCTAAACGCATGCTGTATGCTTACGCCATCCCGTGCTGACGCTAAAAAGTCGTAGCCGTCGCCCATCTGAGTACGAAATTGTGGAGAAACCTCGTAGTCCTCACGACGACTTTTCAAAAAAAAAGAAAGAAAGTTGACTTTTTTTTGTTTTCCAAAAATAATTTGTAGCATTTATATAGCGTTTATCCGGCGCAAATAATATATTAGTGCTAAATATCTGGCCTGTTTTTAATGTTATGACTTATTTACACGTTTTGTAGGGGATTTTAGTCGGCAGGAGATTTACTTTATGAAACTTTTTCTCTAGTTGTTGGTTTACTGTTATAACAGCAACATTTGAATGGAAACGAAAACGACTACGGTAATTTCCTCGCACGTGATCAAATCTCGTACTCGTAGTCGTACTCGTAGTCAAATCTAAAGCTGCCTAATATTCTGGGAGAGCATTAATCTCCTTCAGAGCCGCTATTTGTGTTGAGTTTCTCCTCACGAGCGGCTTCTCACTCAAGCACAGCATTCTGTTCCCTTTGTCTTTCGTTAGATATCTTAATGTTTAACTAGAAAATACATGCATGCAGAAACCCTCGCCTTCCTGACAAAACCATTGTATTTTCCGAACATGAAGTATCTAAAGTAGTTGTCATGGTAACACGATAATTTTTTAAGAATATTCTTACAAATGAAA